ATTGCATTACAAAATGCAAAAGTTATATATGCATACCTTGCAATAGTTTGCCCACAGCATCGTCCAAAGAATTATTGCCGCCGTGTTCGTTGCTCGACGAGCTGGCTTTACTTTCCATCGAAGATAAATCGTTATTATTGTGGTGGATATCCATTTTTATTCTTGTTAAATCCACGATGCAAAACACTTTCTTCACTGACGATCGATATTCACACAATCACTAAAGACTATAGATGTCAAAGATTCGCGAACTCTCAAAAAGTGCTTTCGACATATAAATGTCGAAAATGTCACTCAAATAATGTCACATAATCGATGATAAATTGAATAGCAAATTTTGTCGGGAGATAAAACGCATCTCGTGGATTTTTTTGTCGCAGATGAGCGAGATTCTCGGTAAGAGATTTCCGTCGCAGGAAGAGAGAGGTTCGATAATTAATCGAGGGTTATCAGGGCGCGATTTATCGGGTCGGATAGGTCGCCGAATCTTCTTTATGGCTACTTAGCCGACCCTGTGTCGACCTTATACGCATCGGATCTTTTTTTATCTCGATATTAAACCGATTCCTACGAACTCGTAGATCACCCAGAGATTCACTTCGTTATCGGCTCCGGGAAATATTAGACAGAAATCGATGATGATGTGTTGAGAGAAGAGGTTCGCTCTTCAAAACCCTTCGGACTCTATAATCCCTCCATTTGTCTCTCATCGAACGATCCGTTCTCGAGTATATTACCGATTTTATTTCTTCTCGTATATACGAGATGTCTCGAGGGTCAAATTGTATGGCACGTTATTTCGGGGTGCCAAATGGAACGAAAAAAGATTCGTCCTGATCGACCTCGAGATCATCGAGTCATGTCATAGTTAAATCCACGACGTCTCCTCTGCCGGAGGAATATCCTAGTTATCGTTTTTCTCCTCTCTCTCTCTCTCTCTCTCTCTTTCGTTATCGATTATGGAAAACGAAAAATGTAAACTTTGTGATGCTGTATGTGTCGTTCTTCATACGATACTAATCGCGTCATCGATAGATACGGAGATCGAGAGACGTAACGGCACGGGCAGCGGTACTGGCGAATCAGGTAAACTCCGATGGCCGACTGATCGACCGAGAGGAGAGACGAGACGATGGACCCGATGGACTCAGGGAGGCGAAGAAACCGTCCGCACGGTTCAACCGCACAGGTTGGTCCGTACGGGTGGAAGAGGACGAGGCGAGATGAGACGAAACGCACGTCTGGCACACGCACCAAAACCATCAGGCGGATGGCAGACCGTCCGCGGAGGCGGTTCCGTGGACCACCTACCTCTGGTGGGGAGACACGTAGGATCTTCCTCCTTTCTCTTCTTCATTCTCTTTAGTCTTCTCTCTTTCTCTTCGTCGTCATCGTTTCCTCGCGCTCGTGTCAAAGTCGATTGCTGTACGTCCTGTATCCGCACGCGATTCTGTCTCTTGCATCCTTACGTTAGAGCGATCGAATTCCTAATGTTTCTTCCGTGGAAAATTACGAAATTACGCAATCTGAGATTTTAGTAAGAAGTCGGAAGTGAATGTTTTTCCATTTTTTTTATTTTATTAGGAAATAAAAACAAAAATTGTGCCGATTTGATAATATACTAAAAAAAAGACCGAATCTTTTTTTAAAATATGACAGAGATTTTTTGATTAGTTTAAAGTTGATTTTTTCCTTAGCAGGTAATATTAAAGCATTAATATTTTTAAAATTATGAGTGATTAAGGAGAAAAAAAGAGAGACAGAAAAGAGAGAGGAGCGTTTCGCGAAATAAATTTCAAGTAAATGAAACTACATTTTCTTTAAATAATTTCAGATAAAGTTTATTTATTTATGGAATTTTAATTTGAGGAAGGTTTAAAGTCATAAAGTTTATCGAAAAAAAAAATATAAAGCTGTTTATAAAAATATTTCTTGAATTTGCATATTAATTAGTGTAGTAGTGTAGGATCTACAGATCCACACAGATAACATACATCCGGCTTTTATGATACTCATTTCGCGAGTTATTCGCGACGAAGCATCGACTAATTATCGTCCGTTTGTTGTCGCGCACATGTGCCTTGTACGTGAAAGGTCGCTGGCAAGTGGACCTAGTCCTGAGTTTATTGATCGCGTCTGCGAATAAATGATTAATGACAAAGATCAGCGAAAGATACCCACGCACGCATCGAACGTGACTAAAAGTATTAGATAGTGCGGCTGATATAATCTTTAAGTTACACCTCTATTTAGATTTTTAGATGTACGCTCTTATATAGCGAACATTGTGTTTCTGCTGAGACAAAGGGCGATTTTGAATTTCGTTAAAGTATTTATTCCTGTAACATTTTTCAGCATATCTAGAACGTAAATTCGAAAATAATATTCGCCTCGCGCATGTCTCGCATCGAAACGCTCGCTGTCGCGCGATCGGAATGCGAAAAAAAAAAAAAAAAATACGCGCGACAAAATAGAACAGCGTGTTTTACGCATGGGGGGAAAAGCACCACCAAGCTCCGAAGTTCTGTTCCCTCCTTCGTTCCAGTGAGCCTAATTATACAACGAATTTAATGAATGAGTGAGCTAGCAAATACAGTGGCTCATACAAACCACAGGCATATATAAACCACGGTCAATGCCGTGTAGCGGCTTTTGTGGAAAGATCAAAGAGAGCATCTTGCTCGCACTTTGCGGGATTAACTCGCGTTGCCGGCGCGTAAACGCACGAGTGCATGGAGATTCTCAGGAGCCTCACGGATTAAAGATTACATTTTTATCCGAATCTCTATGCCAAGAGCATAGAAACCTTTCTAAGGGAGTCACATTCCTAACTCTTTCTATCTTTTGTATACAAGTGTGAACGATCTATGTTGAAACTATTGGAAATTTTGCGAACTTATCTCATCAACTTAGAATTATTATTTCTTATTGAAAACTAAATTTTATAATTTATATGCCAGACTCAAGCAGAAGATTTTTCTCTTCTCCCGCTATTGAATCAGAGCTGCAATCTTGTTAACGTATATGCTATTGTGTATTTTATCTCTGGATAAAAATGTGCAATCAAAAATTAATATTTAAGATTTCTAATTTAATAGAAATAAAAAATAATTGAACAAATTCATTATACATGGAAAATATGAAGGACGTAAATATTATTTCGATCTGGCAGTTCTCAGTTCAGGTGATATTGTAATTTATTACATTTACAATGAGATTGAATCATCTCAACAAAAGAATAATCTGTCTCATCGTATTAACAAATAAATATTAGATAAGATTGACGCATAATTTTTAATAATTTGTAGATAATTTTTCTATAAAAAATTGTAATGTAGGCTTGATAAAAATAAAATTAATCTGATGATACTTACAAATGATAATAATAAAATAAATCGAACTACTGCGATAAATACTTCTCATCATTGTTCTGTGTTCGAAGATATTCGCTCGTTTGCAGATTCTCTAAATGTCTGTCCGGGCGTACGCTCGCATTATGCGGCGGCCGCGATGCGCCGGCAAATGCAAATTTAGCCCGACGGGAACAATAATATTGATTTCACGAAGCCGGAATTTTGCTCTTGCCGGGATAAACATCCCGGCGCGCGCGCACGTGGCGTCAATATGCGTCTTTCGTTTTTCGGTGTACGTAAGCGAGAATTCGTTTCAGGGCCGTTCCTGAGACAGCCTCGTTTTCTCGAGAGGAAACGCTTGGCGTTTGCGTTTCTTCATTTCGAAACGATTAGTGCATCCCTTTAAATAAATATTCACGAAATCACGTTAATGGACAATCGGAAGATATAATTTTGAAAAATATAATCCTTTCGAAAAAATCACAGATAAGAAATGTAAAAGAATTAACACTATGCACATTTTTCAACTTTGAATGAGTTGCCTGCATGTTTATTTCAAGATTTGAAAATACTAGATGTTTGTTACAATTTTATCTTGAAATGATGGACAGTAAGATGACGCGTTTAAATCTCACAACTCGAAAAAATTGGAGAATATTTCGCTTTTATATATTACTTATTTCGCGATAAATACTTATTATCTAACGTTATTAATCATGCGTATAATATATGTGTAATTGGAAACAATGAGGAAAATTTTTCCTGAAAATCCCCGGCGATGAATCTATAGAGCGAATCGAAGGATGTATCAAAACAGGCGATTCTCGCGCGCGGTTCGCCGGTATAAAATAATAATTCCAGCAATTCCTGGGGGTCGGCGGCGTGCCGTCAGGCACTTGAAAGGATCCTAAAGGCAGGGGAAGGGGAGTCGATCGAGCCGGGTACCCGACACATGTAGCCCCCCCGGGTGGCAAGCACCGCGACCCCCAACGGAGACACGAGCTTGGACACATTCTGCGCCGTCATCATCGCATCCCGGCAACGTCATTGCGTAGTACACGAGGCCGATAACTACACGTATACGAGTGCGTACGCGCGTCCACTCGCGATTAAACCATCTTTGCAAGAATGTTGGGAGTATCAAGAATTGTCTCGCGAATAAAACAATAAAAACCAAGTGATTATTTCTTAAAATAACTGATTCTGTTGTAGCTAACAATTGAAAGATCTACAATGTAAGTTCCAAGTTTTTTTTTAAATTTGAAGAAGCAAGTCTTAAAGCTGAGAAATTGAAAATTTGATTAATATCCCTGGATTCTTGAAAGACGATTGTTGCAATCTGGATTATATGCACCAAGTCTAGGCCAGTGTCATTAAAATGGTACATTTGCATAATTAAACAATAGATCATAAAATCAATTATTTATTTCAATAAAAATTTGTATGCATATAATAAATCTACTCTTTTTCGAGAAATATTAAATATAGCGCAAATTTCGCTATGAGAGATATTGATTATTTTTATTCATGCGTTATGTATGCATAGAATACGATATTAGTAGCTCAAATATGAGACATATTTGTCAAATAATCATTGATGTATACGTCAAATCATTCTTGTCAGACCTTAATAGAAGCAAATCTAACATTTAATAATATAAAATATAATAAAATAAAAGAAAGTCGAACTTTAAAAATAATGCTGACAATGAATTAATGCACAATTTTATCAGAAGATGCTTTCTATTTGCTTTTATCATTATTTAAATAGTATAATGATCTTTCAATGAATAAATTAGTACAAATTAGTTGCTGAGACTCTTTTATCAGATTTTTTTGCATTATCTTTAAAACTTATCGCAAAATAGGACATTATCTTATCCTAAAATACAAAAGTTGTACATTTTATTTATAAAAATTATCCATATCTAGGAACGTAGTGTTATTCCCCTTATCTGCGAATCTTCCTCCTCATCGCTTAATTTGCGTTGCGAAACTGAATTCCTATAACTTTCTGATTAATTTGCTCGGAGTAAGCGAATAGGAGTTAAGCTTACGAAATCGATAATCACAGTCGACATGATTGATGATTCGAGCCGCGTTCCGAAGACATAGTTGCCTGAGCGTACTAATACATATCAAGATTTATGCGTGTTGGAGATGTAAATGCAATTTTGTAATGTTGACAAATCTAAAGGAAGAAATTTTTCCTATACCGCGTTAGTTCATAAATCGAAAAAAAAACTTTCGTTTTGACAAAACATGGAATGTAAAGCACGTAACGTTAGCGCAAATATCCGATCACTACGAAAATCGATCGATGAGTGCAAAATGCAACCATGAGTGCAATCGGCTTGCAGCGGCGCGTTCTCTTCTCGTCCTCTTCTGACGTCATAATTGCATCCGACTGGCGGACCAATCGAGGGGACCGGATGGAAGAAAGAGATCGCGAACAGAAACGACGGTGAGCTGCGAGAAGGGACAAAGAGAAAGAGAGAGAGAGAAATAGAAGGGGGGGAGGAAAGAAGAGTGAGATGAAACGAGAGATAGGTGGAGCAAGCAGAACCCGATTGGTTCTCCTCCCGGAGGATATCGTAGTCATGGAAACTCTCTTGTCAGAGTGGCAAGAGTACCGAAATATAAATGGAATGACCGGCGATCCGGGCAGTATGAAGAGGGAGGAAATGGGGGAGGAAGGAGGGAGGATGACCTGTCCAAGAACGAAAGGGAGATCGCGATATTATTATGGTCCCATTGTCGGTAATCTCTCGTGCTAAAAAATTGCCAAAATACGACAATGTTGCAGTCATATGATGCAACATTGTTGCAACAAGAGACTCTTACTTTGGCCAACAAAATAGATGAGATTTTGTTTCCATCTTTGGCATATCAGTAAGTGTCAGAAGAATTTTAAAAAGATAACGCTGTAATATTTAATGTAACATATTGGAGCTATTAATTAAATCGACACCGAAAGACGATTGAATGCTTGGCATACTACAAGCGTAATATTTTTTTAATAGTCAAAACTCTTTCTCTTTCTCTCTCTCTCTTTTTCTCTCTCTTTACTTTATACGAAAAATGTTTTAATTTGTATATATTTCAACTTAAAATATATAATATATAATAGATGGAATATACATAATCTTAGATTATATATATATTTTTTTCTACAACTAATTTTAATTACATAATATTTTCTATTATTAATTACATTGTGCTCGCATTTTTTTATTATTATTGATGTTAATTATAATAAAAATTCAATTTCAAACGCAGACAGCGTATAATATGAAAAAGCGAAAAGTGTAGCCAATCTCTCTCTCATGGAGGTACTGCCTTATTTGGCCGTGGTCCTCATCGCATACAGAGTCTAACGACGACCGCAAGATACGCGAAACGAATGCCTCGCGCGTCTCTCCTCATCTCGCTACCACTGTTGCCCCACCGTAGCAGGGTCGATCTCTCTCCCGGTGTTCGCGACGGACTTGCCGAGACTTACGGAGCAACAAGTGTTACCAGCACGCTGCCTTTGCCCCGCCCCCAAACGAACCAGCTGAGAAACGATGTCAGCCTCGTGGTGGAAACTGCCCCGAGGCGATGCAACCACCTCACTCGAGCGCCGATCGCGCGACAAGCATCCACGAACCCCGCTTTGAACTCGGCGCGAGTTTTACGCGAACGCGAACCCGGTTCGTCCCGGCGAAGGAATTTCGAAATCTCTCCGAAGTCACGGTATCGATATGTGAAATATTTGAACACCCACGAAAGAAACTCTATTAAGAATAAGAGGTGCAGGAGTCGAGCAAGTTCCATAGCCTCGCAAGACTGGGCCAGAACTGGTGCGAGTTAAATTGTTTTTCACACAGCACAATTGAACGCTTGAATTTATTAAAACTCTCTGTCATATGCTGCGAAGGATGCTGTGAAGAACAATTCTGTTCTTCAGTGACATTACGGACGATTTTACGACGTAACAATACTTGGATGTAATCATTGTCTCTTTCTAAGAGTACACATCGAATGGTAGACCGATACAAGATTCCGTTCAAACGTCAGTTTGACATGTATAAAAACACGTGCTATCCAATCGAGGATAACCGCTAATCGCTGAAGCAAAGTACAATGATCCACCGAAAAATATAAAAACACCGACCATCGAAGGATGCAATTAGCGCGCGATCCACAGTTTCATCGTTCGAATTTATCCTCTCAGAAAAGAGATTAAGCGCGAGACTTTCCAGCGCCGAGATACAGACACAAAGAGAAAAGCGGCGCAGATAAGAAGTGACGGAATTGGCGAATTGGGACGAGCAAACAGGCGAACACAATAAATAAAAGATACGCATACCGAATCACGCGCGAGATACGCGTCACTGCGAGTTAATCGCGAGCGAAATTAATTAAACGCGACAACAATCAACAGTCGAAACGTGACTTCCAAAAGAGAAGGAAAATAATATCGACGGCAAAGAGATCTGCAACGACGGCAAAACTAACCGAGTGAAGAATCGCGAAAAAAAAGTGACACGCCGCGATGATAAAACGATAACGAAACGGCAGCGACAATTAATTGATTGACGGCTATTCTTCACGACGGTTGAGACGAGATGAGCGTGTTTTCCGCGTGTTGCGCGTGATAAATCGGTAAGACTGATTGTGCGACTTCTCGACTCGATCCTCGCGGTTCTCATTGTTCGCGCGACGACGCGACTAAAGGGATGAAGATGAACGACGTCAAGCCGGAAAGCTCTAGTACGTCCATTTCGTCGCCAGGCGGAAACAATAATATTAATAACAACAACAACAACAATAATAATAACATTAACGGTAATGGTAAAGCGGCAGCCGCCGCCGCGGCGACGGTAGCTGCCAATGGCGGCGAAGGGATCAGCGCCGCCGTCGCCAAGGTTCTTCAGGGATACGACTGGACTCTGGTACCCGTTGCTACCAAGTAAGTGTATCACGCAATAAATTTATATTTTTCTCTTTCTCCTTTGTCTTTTTTAAATTTTATCATTGGAAAATCTATTTTGTTAAGAATGTGTGATGGAAAGAAAGATGAAAAAATTTTGGAAAACATTGATATAATTAATGTTTGCGCAAAGTTACACTATTATTTGACGAATAAAATATTTTAAAATGATATGTAATAATTCAATATTGTATTGCTATTTTATATTTCACGTTGATATATTCTAAGGTATCGATATATTTAATTCTTCTGTTCTTAACAGAGAAAAGTTAATTAATTGTTTAAATAGAAGTGCGTTTTTGAAACCTCTTTCGTTTTCTAGCTTCTTTGTATTTCTTCATATTTCGTGAAGCATTTTAATCACCGTGAGTCGTATTAGCGACGCGTTAACATACATATACGCAGGTACGCACACGTGACTGCCGTTAAGCCTCGCGGGCTTCAACCGCGCGTTGGTAACGTTGAAAAGAAAGAAAAAAAAAATGAAAAGAAAGAGAGAAGGAACGAAGAAAAACGGATGCGACGAAGTTGCCGGGGAGAGGAGAAGAGGGCGAGGAGGAGCGTGGCGCGGTCTTAAAAATACGTAACGCTAACTCAATTATGACGCACTCGTTTCCCCGGCCTGGGAAACGCGCGCCTCGCGGGAAAATGTCCTCGGCCGCCAATTAACGCAAATTGGCTAATTAATGCCCGATCGCCGCGTCCCTCGCACGGCTGCTCGTCGATCGTGGGAAGGAAGCCGGTCTTTGACGAGATAACTGATAACGGTCGGGGGAAAAAAAAAAGAAATAAAAAGCGATTTCTTTCCGCGATTGCGAGAAGAGTCATCGCGATGTGTCCTCGGTGCATCATGCTCGCGGAGAAAAATTATTAGATCGCGACGAGCTCGATAAAATCATACGCGCGACCTCGATATGCAGAAAATTGTGCAATGCGACCGGTCGATCCGCGACGTAATGCCTGTCGATGCTGTGATTTTATATTCTTCATTGCTGCGATACAGTCGGGATTGCTTTCCGTTTTTATAAAAATGAACTGAAGTTTCACAAAAGTGATCTACAAAAATATATAAAGAAGATTTTCTGCTTATGATTTCTTTATTTTAATGTCATTAAACGCGTAAAAAGATCTTCCGGAAGATCTCAGCTATCGCGTGCGATCGAAGATAAAACGCGGAAAGAATTTGACAAAACAGAAGAGCAATTATGCTAGGTATGTGATTTGATCGTAGAGGAAAGCATGCTACAACGGAAATCACGGAGCGTGTGTATCGCGCTTATCGCTAACCCTCAATTACGGGGTTATCTCGGGGTAGCTGCAGGGTGCGGTGTTTATTCCTGACGATAGAGACCGATAAAATACACCAGTTTTTAATATACCCATGGATTCCGTGGGAGTATATTGCGCATTTCGCAGAAGCTGCGAGATTATCTCTGCTTCTGGAACATATAATATTAATTTTCGAGTGCATTAACGTAACCGAAAAAATTTTAAGATAAATATTACGCAAACATTTTCAAATAATAAGTCGAGATAAATTAAATTTAAGACGCATAATTTTTAACTTCTTAATTCAAATATATATTACGAAAAGAGAATTATAATTCTTTTTTCATGCTTACGTTAATTTATTTTTATACTGGCATTCTGTTCGTATGAGACCCTAGGCTTTCGATGTTTCTGTTGTAAAGCTGCACGTTTGTGCCATTTTACGCAGTACCACGCCTACGTCGCGAACGTCAAGTCGCACACGTAAATGTTTTTTGCGTGTATCCAGGTAAAACACGCGCGCGTCGTGACGCGTATACATCGTGTATGCCGCGTTCACGTCGAGGAGCGCCGTGAAAACCCTCGTTAGTGAGCCCACGCTAATTACCAACGGCTCCACGGGTTTACATACGGATTTAACGCCCCTCTCATTTCAAAGAGGCCGAAATATACGGGGGAAGGGGGGACCGCTTTCGAATCCTTGAGACGCACGCCGTAGTCCTTTTCACCCGTGTTACGCGCATTCGCCACGCTTATCCCCATGTAATCCACGCGCGAATCGAACTCTTATAGGTCCGATTACATAAGCTACTATTAACTACACGTTATATCCTTGGATTCTGTTTCCCTCGGCAGGACTTTAATCGCGACATTAGTAGCACACATACATATAAATACATACGTGATATACATATATTGATCTAATATTAAAATTATTACCCTGTACTGTTATTTCTGTTGTACATCCATTTCAATGCTTCATTTTCTTTTAAAGTGTAAAAAGCAACGTTTTTTTTTTTTTTTTTATCTGTGTCCAAAGATTTCTGATAAAGATTAATCTCATATATCGTATGCCGTCCGTTCTTTTGCGCATCATGATTCACTCGGGACCGCGCGAGTCCTTAAAGAATCCTCGATTAAGGGCAAAAAGAAAAACAGAAGGGTCAGGATATCTCTCCGGCGCGGCAATCACGTCAGTCACGTCGATCCCCGGCTGGACAAGGCAAAAGTTTTATGAAGTCATCTTCTCGGAAAGAAAGGGATACGTCCATTCCTATATACCCGTCACACGTCGGCAGCCACGGTGTTATTTTAAGGCCGGTTTTAAACGCTCCGCACGCTCGCCAGGATGACCCGGGGTAGCCCGCCGCGGCAAAACCCGATACGGATATGTATACGTGTGTAGATGTATATATACGTGCCGTCTCGCCTCTGGTTATTTTCTTCTGCAAGTCACCAGATTATCTGCCAGAATAGTCGACGAGATAGAGATAGATAGATAGAGACAGAGCGAGAAAGGGAGAAAGTTCTTACCGCCGTAAAATTTCGCTCTTATTTTTATCAGCGATCGGGTGATCTAAAAAAACCTATCATCATATGCGGCTTTTAAAATTATTGAAAAGCAAGAATGTATGCAATTTCGTGAAAATTTGAAGAAGAATGCTTAGTAGAAAAAAAAGATTTGCCGTAGATATATCAAAATTGTGTTGCAGAGTATATTATATAATGCGTTAAACGAATTACATGTCATGTCAGTTGTACATTAATTATTAAGGTAACTCTATTAATAGTAACCGTAATAATTAAATAAATGGAATCTTTTTTTCTTGCGAACATATATATATATATATATATATATAAATCGATAGCTTTGTAGCGATTAACACACTTGCGTGCGTTCACGTAAATTTGTAAAGAGTTATCGTTTCCAATGAAGATAATGTCTTCGAATTGCAGGGGCTCCGGCGACAAAAGGGCGGCCCATGTCAAGAGGCCCATGAACGCGTTTATGGTGTGGGCCCAGGCTGCTAGGCGAAAACTGGCCGATCAGTATCCTCAGCTTCACAACGCCGAGCTGTCAAAAACGCTAGGAAAGTTATGGCGGTGAGTGTCGTGACGTTCTTTAGCCTTGCATCAATATTTTACAATCATTTAATTTTTTACAAGTCAGATTGCAACAGTAGTATAAATTAGTAATATGATAAATTCTATATATTCTATAATTTTTACGAGATACGATGTTTAATTATTTTGGTTGGTGTACAATTTTAAATTTTACACCTTACATTTTTAGTCTACCATTAACAATTGATTAAAAATATATTCTCCTCGCTTCGCTCTATATTTTTTTTTTAGAATCGTATGATAAAAAATCTATTATATGTGTCTGAGATATAGGTATGAGAGATAGAGATGTCAAAAAATCGGATTGCGAGCCGCACGGAAATCTGTGTTGATCGTTTCAGCTGTCGTTGATTCGAAGCCACCTGTGTGTTTATCGTCGATTTAACGGTTTCAAAGCTCGCGCTTTGGATTTACTCGAGGAAGCGAGTATAATCTTGGCCAAGACTGGCGATATTACAATCTAATTGTATTAATATTGATATGAATGCGATATGATACAATTTTAATATGTAGTAGTAAATCAACAATTTTAACGATAATTGCAATTGTTCATTTAAATGTTTAAAACATATTTCTTTCTCAATCATTTCTGATAAACTTATTAGTGGTTCTATACTGCGTGTAAATTATGTTCTCTAAAAATTCAAAATATTTTTAATTTTATAGTTAAATTTAGATGAAATTCAGCCATGAAAAAATAAAGATAGCGTTTTTTTTCCAAACGATTTCGAAATTATACGATCTCGCTTATGTAAGACAATGCATGCGATTTCGATCAAAATCGCTGGACCGGAAAGAGTCAACGTCGTCCAATGAGGATTACGTGAAAGTTCGGAGTCACTGCGTTCCAATTCCCGCGACCACTTGTTCACGTACGTAACCCGTTCTATTTTTACCAACGAATTCGCGAATGTTCCTTTTTTACTTCAGCGGCACGTATATTAAACACACTCGTACCACACGTGGCGCCTAGGCTGCACGTGGTACAAGTGTTCCTGCTTCTCGAGACCCGTGAACTACGGTCGCACATATGTAACAGCGAGGAACACACTTTACATGCCGTCGGCGGCCCCCTTTTACAATCAGATTCTCCTTAATATTCGAATAATTTTTAATTTTTCGTGTACCGCTTAAAATTTTCCATCTTTTAGATTTAAATTTAAATTTTTTATATCTTATTATAATATTGTTCTTAAAAAGAAAAATTGGCAATCAAGAAAATAGAACAAAACATTTTAAATAAACAAAACGTGTGTGCAATGTACTTTATTAAATTGTGAAATATATGCCAATGATTAAAAATTTACCTAATAATTAAAGATGTTTGTAAAGTATTTTGTGCCAAATTTTTTAACACTATTAGAATATTATAAACCCCCTTTTACAATCAGATTCTCCTTAATATTCGAATAATTTTTAATTTTTCGTGTACCGCTTAAAATTTTCCATCTTTTAGATTTAAATTTAAATTTTTTATATCTTATTATAATATTGTTCTTAAAAAGAAAAATTGGCAATCAAGAAAATAGAACAAAACATTTTAAATAAACAAAACGTGTGTGCAATGTACTTTATTAAATTGTGAAATATATGCCAATGATTAAAAATTTACCTAATAATTAAAGATGTTTGTAAAGTATTTTGTGCCAAATTTTTAACACTATTAGAATATTATAAATAACAACTATAGCAACATTTATTGAAAAAATCTTTCCATTTAAATGTTGTAGCGCATTTAAAAGCTTTCAAGCTTTCAAAGCTTTAGCGTTTGAAAATTATGTTTCTTAGAGTTAAAACAAAAAAAAAAGATTGAAAGGGAAAAAGAAAGGGAGAAAGAGTACCTGATTTTGACACACCCTGTATACGTAGGCTTCAGGATGACTTGTGGATGATTCCGTTTCCTGGTTGGGACTAACGAGGTGCCCCAGTGGGCCATATAACGATCATCAGAGGACGCGCCGACAAGGACCCCCGTTGCGAATCATTTAATAACACCGGTCGCGATCGCGATTGCTCGCCAAAGATCGACGATTGATATCCCGACGATTGTCACGGCGGAGCTTTTGCCGAAAGATAAAACGTTATCCAACATTAAAGATCAATCGATTTTTTCTTAACACTATATCGAGGGTCATTAGCAATCTCTCGGTCTGTAACGCGTGTCGATGAAATCAACGTTCGATGAAAACGTCCGTAACGTTTATTATTCGTATATTTAAATCTATATCTTTTCTCGTACAATCAGGACGTACATGCAGGAAGGATAGAAAGGAAAAGAATATTGTACGTTGGTGACAGAAATTAAAAATTAAAAGCGGAAATAATTTTATGATTGCTTGTAATTTGAAAGAAGCAACAATCGTCCTTGAGACAGGGTACATTCATCTTACGTTTCGGCTCTTAAAAAGTCATTATTTAACACCTTTTCGGTATGGACCTAGTACCAATTAACACTTTCGTCCGAACACGAGAGATATTTTCATGATTACGCCAGAGCCTCTTGTAATAGGCGTAAATTAACTAGCCAAATCGTTTTTAAGATTCCTTCGTCGTGCGCAAAGAATCGAATTTACGCGATTGAGAGAGATTGCCATGCATCGCTCTGACGTTTTGATCTATCTTACGCGCATAAACAAAAGATATAGTCATCTTCGAAAATGAACACAGAACTAGAGTGATTGTTTTACATGGATGAGGTTGCTTACAAACCGACGAGGCCGATAAAATACAAAGTTCAGCGAAGATCGTCGGATATACAGATCGAAATGGTACGCGGTGGTTTGAGGCTTTGCTTATAAGAGGTGAATAAAGGAGATGAGATAATAAGTAGATAAAGAAAATATTGTTACAGTTGAATTACAATATGTGACCTTACATATACAAAAAAAATGGAATTAAATATAAAAAAGTATGAAAATTAGAGAAATGTTTAAATGTACAAAAATGTAAAATTAAAGAAAAAATATAATTATAGTATAAATGATCCCTATAAATAATCGAAATGATAATTGAAACGAAATGAAAATTGAATTTGTCTGATGCTTTTGGCACAAGAATTTTAATCGCGATCATGTCAGTTGACCCGTTGAATCCTTGCGGACTTCGACGCCGATTTGTCTCATGTCGATCTCGATAACAGGGCCAGGTGCTAGAATGCCTAGAAATAAATCTTTTTCTCGTACTCTCTCTCTTTCTTTTCTCCCCGTCTCTTTGCGCCGTCTCAAAACGTATCGCCATTCGGATACACCAAACGCGACGTGTTTGTCGACAAAAGGAAAACAGATATCCCCTCTGGTTCATCCTTGGCGCGTGCTCGCAGCTGCCGGCCGGTTCCTGCCGGAGATAAAGGGGCCCCCAGGGACCACAATAGGCGCCTTGTGCCCGTCAGGTGAATTTTTCCGAACCTGCCCTTCTGCTCCCCGGATCTGCCTGCAAATAGCGCGTGACGAGAACAGGTAAATCTGTCTTATCTCCCGGAAGGAAAGATTCTTCCATACATCGGACTTCCTTCGAACGTTCTTTCTTAGGATCCTGCGGTAGCATTATCAACGCTAACTAAAAGCGTAAATCACCCTTTCAACAATGATTAGAAACTTTATAATTCTATTGTCGCTTAAGTCTGTATCGTGCTTGCAGAAATTATACAGAGTGTTTCTCTGCCTTTATATGAAGTTATTATTATTTGAAATTATTGGGTGCAATTTTTTAATATTTGACATTACATATATCTTGTGACAAACGATCACTGCTGCTTTGACACTTTAATTAAGGAACGTTTCGAGAAAGTCGGGCAATTTCACGATTTGTCGACGATTATCTGAGATGACAGGCGTGATAATTCAATTAAAATCCCATGATGAAGATTCATCGAGATTGAATTGCGCGTTCTTTGGCCGTGTGAATAACTTTCCTCCTTCTTTATGCGAGGTAACATATTTACTGATATATACAAGTAAAAGATACTCTCTCTAGCGACAGGCAGATCTAAATTGGTTGACCCTAAATTGGTTGTATTGCATCTGGCGGAGAAAAAGGAAGCCGCGACGACTCGCTATCGTCGGCACCCACTGGTGGAAAAAAGCTCATGGCAAGTCCATTGACCAGATGTGCTTTCTCTTCGTTCCTCTCTCACTCTTTATCCGTCTTCCACTCCATCTATCTCTATCTTCCCTTCCGTCAGTGACAAAACAGCGTTGGTTAAGCTTAAGATACGCGCCTTCAACGTGTGTCAACCCGTTTGAGAGCTTAGCTTCTGTCGTGGAATTTAAATCCCACGAGCTTGCAAATACGCCAGATAACACATTAAAAGCTTCCTCAGATGATTTTTAGGACAATAGTCTTTTTTTTATTTCGCATAATATGCGAAATATATTATTTACAATATATACGTTAATTGAAAAATTAAATTTTAGCGATTAAATAAAGATATTTGAAAATAAAAATATCAAATTATCAAACAAGAATTAATTCTCTAAATCAAGGATATCAAAGGATATCATTTAAATCAAGGATATCAAAGACAGAACGCGGTCTAAGATTATCCTGCAAGTTAATAGATAAATTTATTGACATTTATTTATTATTTATTAATATACTGATAGCATGTTTAAAGAATAAGAAACGTGAATCGCGATATAAATCATTAGCAGTGAAGCGTGACGAAAATTCTCGAAATCTCTCTTGGACGTTCTCTATTATACCGGAAAATCTTATCGGAGTTTACAAACCTAGTGGGAATATAAACACAAAGCATTAAGGACCATAACCGGGCACCGAGAAAGTCCGCACGTCGACTGCTGCGAAGCGGTCCGAAGTCGACGTGTCAGTTGTGCACGTTTATGAGCGCCTTAACGCACCCAGAAACACTAACCAGATCCCTCATTTCGACTCTTCGAGAGTATATCAGACGCCGATGGAAACGCTCTCGTTCAAGCCTCTTCTGATGCAGAGCGGCGCGAGGAGAGACGGTCGTTCGTGTGTATAAGTACACGCAAGCGCGAGAGACATGAATCACGTCGATCCGACGACAGATTTCACATACAGTCGAATTTGAGAATTGTTTCACAATATTTATATATATATATATATATATATATATATACGTGCTTTATACATGTGTAGAGAAACGTATAAAAGCATATATATTCAACTGAAGTTTAAAATACACTATTAGCTTTTTATATAATACAATATATCTATCTGTCAGAGAATAAAAAAATAATTATGTTATTTAGTGCAATTCAAAAATTTTTTATTGTATTTATTTTTATTTTATTTTTATTACCACGACTGGTTGTAGGCTCCTGTCCGATAACGATAAGAAACCCTTCATTGAGGAGGCCGATCGCTTGCGCGTTATCCACAAGCGCGAGCATCCCGATTATAAGTATCAACCACGACGTCGAAAGCAGAACGGGCCTTCTTCCGGTCGTGACAGTTCACCCTCGAGGAATCAGAGCAACGTGACGTTTAGCGTTTCCAGGTCGTTGAAACAGGAGGACATGAGTCCTAGGGGCGTGCAAGGACCTAATTCACCACAAAGTGGCGTGAGCTCCTCGCCACCGACGACACCCAGTCAAGGTCTTTCACCGCCGACACCCCCTACGACACCCAGAGGACAGCATTATGTCAATCAGGTATCTAATTCTTCCTTTATGATTTTTTGCAACTCTAAATTTTATAGTATCTATAATGAGAAAATATTCATTTAGATAATTAAATATTCATATATATATATACGATATATGTATGTATGTATTATATATATTTTTGTTGTTTTATCTCTTTAAAATATTACAAATATTAAGCTATATAATTATTAATGAAATTATTGCGAAAAATACATATATAAGATAAATGAAATAAATCTATATTAATTGTTTTAAATATTCATACACACGTATTAAAGAGAGAAAGTAACCGATTTCGCAAATATAATTATCTAAGGCTATACCTCTTGCTCGATGGACGTGGTTTGCATCCCCGATCATGTCTAATCATTGAGGTCACGCGAAATGATAATGCTTGATGTGCAGACCAATCAGCCTCCGCAGAACAATACTGTGTACTACCAGGAATTAATTAGCAATACGCCATCGAGCGATTCTCCGCATCAGCAGCCGGCGGTCGATCTTCGATACATCGAAGTCGGAGATGGCCTTTCCGGCGAGGAAAACCAGTTGAATGGCCTTGGCACTTTGGGCGGGCTCGGCCTGAATCTCCCGGTGAACTTCCAAGAGTGCGAGGTCGAGAGCAGCGAGCTCGACCAGTATCTACCACCCCAGACCGCGCCGATACATCAATATCCACCTGTGCAAGTCACCACCACTTCGCAATGGCTAGTTAACAGGTACAGAATCTCATCTTATTTTCGTTTACAAGTTGTGATGAAGACTGCACACTGAAAAAACGTAGATCTAATTATGGCATTCTCGAAAGTTTCCTTGAATCTAAATCTAAAGAAATGATTATAAAATAAGGGCAATTTAAAAAAAAAAAATATATGTTCTGTGAGAATAATCGACATTTGAAATATGAAAGATGGAATTATATTTTATTTAAAGAGTTATAATGATTACATTTTAATTTATAAGCTTTATTCATACAATTGAATATTGCATGATGTATTTATATTCCTGTGTGTCCTTTTTCGAGGAAATTCGATTATATTGGATCTGAATATCGTTCATAAATGCTTTCTATTTTCTTCCGTCTATTTCTGCTGATTTTTTGATACATTTTATGAGATGTCGAGATATACGTTGCTTGCAGATATGAAGAGGAGATCGAGAGGCCGATCAAGCGCCACTGCTCGGAGCAAGCGATCGCGGAGGTTTCATGGGAGGATAGGACCCAGGAGATGGTCAGGTACCACGAGTTACAGCCTCCCCTTCCACCGGTCCAGTACATATCTGCCCATAACGCACATCACTCGCACGCGAACGCGCAGATGGGCCATCCGCACGTGTCCACGTCTTATACGCAATATGCTCATCGCTACGTACCTGGCATCGAGACGTGGCCAAATTACATGTAGGATCAAAACCAGGTAAACGCGACCATGGTCTGTCATTATTATGGAGTGCTAATATGCGCCGTAGGAGATATCATTGAATATTCGATTTACGCACAAATAAGCGAGTAAAAAAATTCGCATAGATCGTTGAAAAGTATTTTAAAGATAGATTTTTGAAATTTGATATACTGATTTTTCCTTAATATATCGACAAATATTATCTTTGATTCGAAATTTTCACACATCAATTAAATACTTAATGACTATATTTAATAAAATAAATTTACTACGCGCTAATACATCAACATAAAATTATATAATGATTGAAATTGCCTTTTAAATTATTTAAGAATCGAAGATTTGTTACACAGGGAGAAGGGAAGGTTTTAATCCCAACTTTTATTTACGCATGTGTTGTTTTATTTTTAATAATATAATTAGATTTTTCAATCGAGAAACACTTCTCGTGCGAGAAAATATCGATATACAAATCTTTCAAAGATCTGCCTTTAAAATAATATTTGTGTGTAGATACTTCTACGGATATATTTTTGTATAAAACGCGTTAAATGACGCGTTAAAGACACTTTATTTTTTTACGTCGACTATTTTAGTTATATCGACGCAGAGTTACAAACGCAGATTGTATAAACAAATTGGATTAATCACCGCGGTGTTAAATTCCTGCGGCATTGCTGGGCATTGAGCCTGAAAGATAGCCAAATACAACGTAATTAACGATTATAATTACAAAGACGAATTATATTAATAAATATATATGCGATTTTGGTCGCGAATTGTACGCAGAATGCGCAGCTAATGCGCGAGCTTTGTGTGATAAAGTTTATAACATTAGCGTACGCAAATATTTCAGTTATCACTCGTGGATCGGTTTTAGGAGAGCGTTCCTTCCTCAGGAAGGAAATCTTAATATTATTTCTAACGTCTATAATAGCATTGCGAATCTAAAAAGAGAAGTACAATAAATATGAAAGTTATATATTTCGAGAATCTTTTTCTGAAAACTTACGACTGGGATTGAAATCTTATTGCGTTCTAATTCCACGTACAAATTCTACAAACGCTTACATATGTAATATATCTGCCTTAAACTAACTAAAACAAGCAATATACAAGTATAAGCCAAACAGGAAAGAGTTTGTTGCATCGAATCGCATCTTTTGAAAAGCGCAGAATGTAAAGAGCATAATATATATGGCATTTATATAATATTGTGAATATTTTGAAAAAATACTTTAAAATTCGTCGCAAATTTATCTTTTTTCTCCTTATTTTACAAAGAATATAAAGGGAAATATATATATAGATCGGAGTGGTTGCGCTCTCTAATTTACTGTAGATATATCTTTACTAGAGATACTCACAAGTCCGAGATTGGCAGAATTAAATCACTTGAGTTATATTTTTCCTTGTTTTCAATATTTTAAGATAAACAGGCAGACTCACATTTCTTCACTTATTTTTTTTTCTTAATGTTTGTATTTTTGAAAACTTATATCTTTATATGAAATATACCTTTGCTATAATATTTATAGTTTTGCGTCTGGCAAATCATTATATTGCTACAATTAGTGTCGTTATGTGTTTCTGCTGAATTTAATTTTATTGTTTTAACAAAAGAGAGAACAAAGATTTTCTTCTCAAAATAAAATAAAAAATTGTAACATTTTTTTAAAAATAAGATATTAATATTCTTCTCGTTTTATAATATATCTGTTGGTATAATTATATTCATATAAAATTATTTATAATTATTGAATCCGAGAAACGGTCATGTTACATACTTTTTGCTCGATACGAAAATGGCAGATTAGCCATTCTCCGGCTTGAGAGTCTCTACTATGTAGACGAGGCGCGGCCACGATACTCACCATGACATCATTCCATGACAGCCGGCCATTCCAAAGCGCAGAATTTCAGGCCAAACAAACAGGCGGCCGCTCGATATATACGGTGCCCAACGGCGCGTTCCAAATGTAATAATATATACTATACTACATATATACGCGAGACGCGCGGACGCTATAAATCGTCGATCGGTTTGCCGTACGCTCGCGCACGTCTCGTTCAAATAAACGGCTGAAATACGATCGAGGGTGGCAACAAATGTACGCTTGGAATTTTTTATTTTATGATCCAAAGTATTTCAGAATTTAAAAATTGTCGCGTAGTCGAAACTCGCGGATCATCTCGACTATTCCAATTATATTCTGACCTTCTTGAAAAAAGGAAATTAATTGCGGAAATAAAAAAATTGAAGATTTAATATTATAAGAAATTTATCCTCTTTCTATTGTGTTTGAAAATCACAAATGCAGTTCTTCTGAATTAATTTGGATTCTGTAAAAAAAATCGCTGCCGGAGACGACCGATATATCGAGGGACCGATTAGCCTGAATATCGAGCGTGCAGCTAATGTAAATGAGCTTACAGCTCCGTACTAAAATATATAGATTGCATATATTATTAACACTAGTTACTACGCTGACAGCCGTGCTTTTGTACTTAGATATTTATTCACAATATTACGAGAATTGATAGAAAAAGCGTAGGTTAATGTCTCGGTGTAGTTGTGCATGTTGGGAGGCGAGCATTAAATCGTAATTTATAAGTGAGATGTACGCTAATTTGTAGAAATAAAACAAAAAGAGACTAAAATCAATTTGCCACATATTTTTAATCCCTTTTGTTCCTAATTTCCCACATTACATATAGACGCGTATATTTTTTATCACACTTTTTGACGGTTCATATGATTTTATATAGAAATACTTATTAGTATCGTCTCACTTTTATATTTTGTTCCGTATAATAATGTGTATAATTTAAATTATGACAAATCATATAAAATTCATAGATTCATCTGGAATGTGTGAATCTGGAATTCAATCGAAGCTATTTTGATTAATTTCAGCATAATTTTTTGATTTATTAGAAGAAATGCAGATTCTTAAAAATAAAAATTTTATACCGGCAGACTTAGGTTTTCGAATTTAACTGTATTCGCGTAAACGCAGGAGAACCGTGCGACGATTCGGCGACATCAACGTTGAGTCTTTTATCTCGCTTTCCTAAATGATATTTGCAACGATATATGCATATAACGAAATGGAAATATAAGTATAACGCGGACTAGGTCACACGCGGTAATAACGCGTCTCAAATATTTGTCGAGCCCTTTATTTTCCTTTTTTAACAGCCCAAAAACCGCGAATAGACTCTGGGTCGACGTCGAGCAAACAGGGCGCTTATCGAAATCCACCCGGCACGAGGAACGTGGGAATGTCGCGACTTTTATGTCACTTATCCGCGTCTAGGAGATTAAAAGGAGCGGAGGTGCGCACACACACGTGTAAATGATACGGCAGTTGCATGCGTATATTTTTGACACGTGTACTTTTTTTGACACTCACAGCATTTAACTTGAATTCAAACTCTCGTAGATTTCGAAAATTCGCGGGATAATCATTAGTATTATAATATTTTATTATCAATATTTTGAATCATTAAATCATTTAATATTTTAAATCATCAGTATTATAATATTTTATAGGATAAATCATTGAATCATTTAATATTTTAAATCATTAGTATTATAATATTTTATAGGATAAATCATTAGTCTAAGTTTAAATCGCATTTTTTACAACTTTTTCTAAATGTGTTAGACATCACAATTATTTTTTGTTCGTCACAAAGAAGATGTTTGAATTTCTTGTCATGTGTTTGAGAATTCTGTACTCTTCTTTTTCGACATTTATATTATATTTTCTAATTTTTCTTACTGAGTCACGTGTGTGTCTAGTTTAGAGCTATGGCAGATCATTTTAATAAAAATAACTCTCGATAACTCTTCCGGCGATCGTTTACGATGGGTTTTGGGTTAGATCAACTCGGTTGGCCTTTTTTTCCTTTTCTTTCTCGTCATCGAAGAAAGAGGAGAGCTCGATGAGCTTGACGAGAGTCAGCCCTTAGTATCATCGTATGGCCGTCCGATTTTTCTTCGCATCGTTGTCAATCATCGAGATTTCGATAAAGTACCGACGAGAACAAGCAACGGAACGAAACAGACGACGGAAATTGTGCCTGAGCTCTCTTGACCCTTTGGCATGATAGGAATCCGTGGAAAGGACGAAAAAGATGTAGCGAAGTGTGTCCGAGAAACAATCGTGACGCAAACGTGACAGTACTGTCCATTGAAATACGGTTACTGGGTGTCAGAAAGAATCGCTATTTACGCTTTATCTATTTTAATTTCGTCGCGTATATTCGATTTACTGGAAGGCGGTCGTTCTTTAACATCGAATGACTTCCGGGTGCTGGTTCCTAGAAATCACGGAATTCTCGTTTATCTCGATATCCATATCTCTTTTCAACTTCATATATTTTCATAATGAATCTCAATGAAACGGCGCTCTGCTAAACGTTTAAGCTGTTAAACAAATTTTGTCAATAGAAATATATATTTATAACTTTATGAAATTTATACAAATATTTGACGTATGTTTTTCGGCATATTTTTTCTAAATATGATTTTTTAAATTTGTAACTTCTATTTATTAAATATAACGATGATATGGAAGTTAAAATACGTAAAAATTGTCAATATTGTCAGTACCAAATGTACGATTGAGATATAAATATTTTTAATTATACATTTCTTGTTGATATAATTTCATGCTGATAATATGAACGAATTTGATTTTAATCGTCTAAAAAAATACTAATCAAACATTATATTAGCGTCTTTGCTCAAATCAGGATATTTCATTTTTTCGCTCGAATAAAGGACATTCCCCTCCTGCGAGAATAGAACCGATCGCGAGTGCGTTGACATTTCGTATACGATGACTAAATATTTGAGCATTGAGCACGATAGTATTGATAAAATTTTCGACAGTTCGGGCATTCAGCGTCCTGCAGAATAAAGAGTTGTAAACCCCTTACAGCTGTTCAGATTACGGTATGCTATATCGGCTGGTTATACATATATCCTTCCTACTATCTATCCATTCATCGAAATCTCGCCTCGTGGCACGCGTAGACCATTGTGATTGAAAAGCTTAGTCGACAATTTCATTGATATTTTTAGCGAGAATATTTATTATATAAATCCCGCATTGAAACTGTAAAATGCAAAACAGCACAAAAATATTTAATTTTTGATACTGTATAATTATTTCAAAATTTTTTATTCAATAAAGTGATGTTTTGCATTTCATTAGTTGAGATTATAATATTTTATAGGAAAGTTTTGCACACGATCGTCATGAAGCTTTTATTTCGATCACTCGGTATATATACATATATGTATGGCAGATATATGAAGAAGGATCGAAGAGAGCTTATCGGCCGATACGGCGATAACTCTAATTAGCGCGGCAATTAGGCTGTTTTAAGAATCGCTCTAAATAACCGAGATAAGTTTCGTCTATTTACTCGCGCGCCGAGATTATCAATTAAATTCGCCGAGAAGTCGCGCGACGCGTCGTTTTCCGGCGACCAAAGAGACGACATCTCTTCCCTTCCGTTGTTCTTTCACGAGCGGAAAGGTGAAATCAGGATCCCGTCAAGGCAATCTAATCGATCGCTCTCTTTCGGTACACACGAGTAGCAGATCCACCACGTGTGAAACTAGACGGGACGGCATACCCATAGAGAGAGAAGGGTTTTACCGCGATGGCTGGTCAATAGCAAGTCAAATACGAGTAGCGTTTTATCGTCGCGTTACCATGGTAATTACGCGATAGATATCGATAAACCGCACACCTAGGTACATAGTAGTGCCGATACAAGTTTATCAGTAAGAACCAAAGGGGCCTCGCGTCCAGGAATTTTAATCTTCGTTCTCTTCTCGACGCATAATAAATTTCGATAGATTATGATAAACCATATACCCTGTCAAGAGATTTTTTCAATACAAAAATTACAAATTTAATACAGAATACGGAGAATAATTAAGTTCAAAAAATATCTCAAGTTGCTCTTATTTTCTACATTTATATAGAGATTCTTTTACTTTTACAATATAAAATAAAAAATCGTGTTAATTGAAGAACTTTTAAGTAATATTATAATAATAATATAATTATATTTCTTTGAAAACAAAAAAATGATCTATTGGTTGAAGCTCAATAAATTTTAAGGGAATAATAATATATAACATTTTCCTATATCTATACTTTCTTTTTACAAAGATGCAGATAACTTTGAAAAAAAGAACGCATTACAAAAATACGTCAATTGATGATGTTTTATCAAAGCATTATATTTTATATTAATTATTTATTACGATATTTATTATGATTCGGGTTATTTATTAATGTAAAAAAGAACGCGTATTTTCTGCGATTTATATAATTGACATCTTATCGATATTTAATGAGCTTACGCTCTCGTTTCGACGAAATTGAAATATGTGTACTTCTTCGTCCCTTGGCAGCCGATATATACCGCCTCTTCTCCCTTCGGTCCCGGTCGTTCCACGAGCGCGGCACGTCTTAATTGCCAGCGGCGAGTAAAGATAATTGGCATTTGGCAGCGAGTGATTCGCGATACGCTCGACGATGGCGGCATGACGCGGTAGCTTCTTCTTGGAAAGAAGTTCGTCTGTTTGTACGTTTTATAAGTCTTGAATTTACCGCAGACATCGCCGACCGCGGCCGCGTCGTCTTCTTCATCCAATGCCGATGTTAGATACGGGAAGACGCCGTCTGAAAGACGGGAGGGCTCATCCATCCCTTTCCTCCTCAGATCCCTTCTGCTCCGCTTTTTTTCCCCCCATTTTTCTGCGCGGACGGTTTTCTCCACGGCACTTACTGACGTCGATGATGCATTAATGTAATTGCGTTTCGCATGCGAGATAAGACGACGAATCTGTCAAAAGCAGGTCTTTCTTTCAAGCGTTGACTGAAATTCGAGAGCTTGTCTTGAAAATTCACGCCATTCAATAATCATATATGGGAATGTTTAGAATTTTTCTTGAAATCCATATGCAATTATATTTGCTTTTTGTTATAATTTATGAGAAATATAAAATTATTCTTTACCCAAAATAATTGTATTATCTGTATAAGCATCACACGATATGCTTGTCTCATAAAAATATAATTCATCGTCGGTAATAAATATGTTTATAAGGAAAATGAAACATTCACACTTTTATACTTAATAAAAAATTTGCCGTTTATTTCAAATTAAATCTTTACACGCGAGTTTCTCTTTATATCCTACGCTTTCAAATGCATTCTTTTCTTAGCAATCCTTTATATTTTCTCAATATTTTCTGATATTTTTCAATATTTTCCGCTCACACGAAGAAGAGTCACTCGTTATTACTTCTAAGTCTTTTCGAAGATCAAAATTCTCAGGAAAGAAAAGGATTCTGTTAGTTCTGATCCGAAAGTTATTCGCAACGAGTAGAAAAAACTATAAATGCCGCGACGTCACCTAAGGTGGAGGATATAAGAGGAAAAAGTGAGAGGAGAGTCGAGGCCTTCTGCACTGTCTCAAGCACTCTCCTCGTGAGTGACACTCGACTGGTATGGCTGACAAAGAGCGAGAATATCCACCAGTATCGAGGTACTAGAAGCACCATGTGTACAAGTGTACCCGTGAATATTATCGGTTTAGCGAAATCACGCTATACGAATATTCTCCTTA